ATATTTAACTTCAGTTTCTAGTTTTTAGCTTCTAGTCTTTTAGCATAATTTTCTTCCTATTTTAAAGGAAGACTTATTAAAAGATTTTTTTAATTAATTATTCACTAACAATAAAGGTTGTCATTGATTAAATTTAGAAGTGAACCAGAATATAATTAGCATTAAATCCAAATTTATATTGACTTGTAATTTACACTTACTATATAACTTGCAAAGAAAGCACATTTTCTTTTGACTGTTAATTATAAATACAAATTTTTATTCAACTGAAAATGACTGCTGCTTTAGATGAAATGAGTTGCGCTTTTTTAGTTTAGGAATTTTCATTGATGATGTAATGCATCTGTTGGGATTCATGACCAGTGCAGCAGCATCATCATCCTTTTTTATCCTACACATTTCCTTATTAATTGCAATGCACAATTTCACTGGAATGTAATTATTATTGCATTCTCTCCAGTTAAGTAGAAAATCTTTTTAGTCTTTATGAAATTACATACAATAAAAAGCGGATTATTTTGGTTTGTAAATTTAAGTTTTTTTTTTGTTTTGTTTTGTGTGTATCTTTTTTGTACTCTACAGTTTTAAATATTTAAATACCTAAATAATTTCAAGTCAAGGGATGTGTGGGTGGTGTAATGATAGCAGCTAAGCATGAGAAATCCAAGAACAATGTTCAAATTTGAGTCGAATTTGTTACATTCACTTATGTGCAAATACTATTGCAAAATGTATGACTCCCTCTGTTCTCTGCTATGGGCTAAATAATAGGACTTATATTTGGAAAAATCATTATCTCAAAGAAATTGTTAATGCAACAGTCATTTGAGAAAAAAAAATTCTTACAATCAAAAATGTTTCAGCTTTAAATAACCTGTTGATAAACCATAATAATAAATCAACATTTTACAAGACTTTTTTCAACAGACACACACACACACGTTTGTTGGTAGAACTCATTACCAAGTATTGATGTGCTCATCGACATTTCCTTCTATATGAAAAGGTTCTTATTTTGGAATTGAAGAGACGTCTGCAGCCACCACATAAGGAGGGTTCATCTCTTCTATTTGTCTTCTGGTGTATTTAAGGGATGTTATTTATTTGTGGACTTCTCTTCTCTAATTGGTTCTTTCTGCAGCTTCCATTTCCCAATTGACTGGATCAATTTCTGTCCTCAAGCAAAGTGTTTTTGAGCTGATCCTTGGTTCAAAGATGTGAGGCTCCATGTGGTCTCTTGCCAGATGTAAGCTCTAAGGAGAGGATTTGTTTGAGTAGGCAGATGCCTGGCATTTGGGCAAGGTGTCTGGTTCATCAAAGTCAGTGGTGTGTCATGATGGTTTCTAGGTTCTCCATCTTTGTGCAGAGAACTTCATTTTTTTGTGAACCAGTTCTGCAGGTGTTCCTCAGGATTTGACGAAGTTTCATTTGATGGAATCTTTCCAGTTTGTGGATGTCCCTTTGGTAGTGTATCCAGGTCTCACAGGTGTACACAGGAGAGTTGAGATTACAAGAGCTCAGTAGACCATGAGCTTGGTGCTTTGTGTTAACCCAGGATTGCCAAAGACTCTTTTTGAATAGTTACCGATATGTTGTGTGGGCAGCCTTGATTTGATTATTGACATCTTTTTCAGCAGTTACATTTGATATTAGTACACTACCAAGGTATGGAAATTGTTCAATTTTTTGAAGCATTGCCACCAAGTAGATGAAGAGGGTAGAAGCAAGTATGCATTGTTGCTTTAATCCCTCTGTGATGGAGAAGGGGGTTCAAAAGGCTAGTTTGATGTTGGATACTGCCCATCATTCCCTAGTGTAGAGCTTGTGTGTATATATATATATATATATATATATATATATATATATACACATAAAGAAAGAAAATGTCAAATGAAAATTAGGATTTTAAAATCATGTTATAGATTGAGACAATTGAAATTTCTGAAATTGTCAAAGTTGATTTCAAAGAAAAAAAAATACTTTTGTTTCCAATTATCTGAAAGTGGGAGAATTGACTTCTCTGCTAAATAGTTTTTTTTTGAACTCTCCTTTATTTAATCATTGAAATTGGTTTCCAGAAATTTCATATCTCTAAACTCAAAGACAAATATAAAAAAAATGTCCCTTATGGTTCTAAATATTAAATAAACTTTGATTTCTCTTCAAGACATTTTTCCTTCAATTTGAGTAACACGAGTTAGCTTCTTATACAAATTACAAATGTTTATTTAAATAAAAATCCTTTCACTTTCCATGTTTGATCAAAATTTAATTAGAAATTAACATTATATAGCCACATTCATGAAGCACACTGTCAGAATCAAACTCACTATGAATGTCTTCTAAGACCAGGATGTTAACTGCAGTATAATCAGTGCTACTTCTATTATTTTACTTAGTGATTTTTAGGTAAATTCATCTGTGTATTGAAAGAAAACCACATTTAGAATCTAAACTTACTAGGAACAAAGAATTCTTTAACCTTCAAGGGAAAAATTCTTAAACATATTGGATGATAATTTATGAGAGTGTAGAAAAAAAGAACTTAAATAAAATAACAAAAATCTCTGGATGGTACAGAGAGTTGAAATATTCTCCTTTGAATATGCATGAAGAATGAGCATTCTTATTGTCTTCCAAGTTGGTTTGTTAGAGATGTATAAAATATTGTTTACCAAGATTCTGCTCTTGTGTACCTAACATGGCAAATAGTCTATTTCTACTCGCATACCTTACCAAAAACAATGTCAACCATTGATCAGTTGATTTTATTTGATTTATGGTTAATCTATTTTTGGTACTTTATTCCTTATTAACATAACCTTTTTTTTTCTTTTAAGATTTTAATTAAACCTAACAGATTTTTAAATCTGCTTCCAAAATGTTTTATATTGATAAGTTCAGAAAATGTCTGCCACAAAATTACAATTTTTTTCCATGAAGCAGCATTATAGAATTTCTTTTGACAACAGTTGCATTTAGGTTAATTCATAAGGATTTCACTTTGAAATTGTCTGTTATGTTTATTGTTTTTGTGTTAGGGGAATAATATTAGCATTTGAGGAAAAAAAAAATAATAGAAATAAAGGTGAAGAAAAAAATCTGAGGAATAAGGAAAAAGTAGTTAAAAAGCAAAGCCTTAAAGAATAATAATAAAAAAGAGACTATTAGAAAATTTCCTTGATATACATATGAGATAGATTGGCAGGACAAAAAGTTTAACATAAAATACAGGGTGTCCATAAAGTTTCTTTCCAATGTAAAAAAGTTTAACATAAAATACAGGGTGTCCATAAAGTTTCTTTCCAATGTAAAAAAGTTTAACATAAAATACAGGGTGTCCATAAAGTTTCTTTCCAATGTAAAAAAGTTTAACATAAAATACAGGGTGTGCATAAAGTTTCTTTCCAATGTAAAAAAGTTTAACATAAAATACAGGGTGTCCATAAAGTTTCTTTCCAATGTAAAAAAGTTTAACATAAAATACAGGGTGTCCATAAAGTTTCTTTCCAATGTAAAAAAAATTTATTACAAAAGCAAATGAACAGATAAATATGTGGAAATTGTTACAAAATGAGGAGTAGATATTGACGTTGTTTTTGTTTTTTAACTAATTTAATACCACCTCTATATGGGCACCATTAGCTGCACAAAGCCTATCAATACAGTACTCGATTTCTTGCCATGTTCGCTGTAGCAATGGTGGCAATGGCACCAGTGATCTTTTGTTTTAGATCAGTGATATTCTGTATCTTTATTCAATACACGATATCTTTAACATAACCTCATGGAAAGAAGTCCAGGACAGTGATATCTGGTGAACGAGGTGGCCAAGTAATTGGGCCATCCCTTCCAATCCATTGGTCTGGAAATGTTAGGGATTCATTTAACAGTACCTCTTTCATCAACAGGATACCTGAAATACACAAATGCAATGTGATTAAAAATTTTGATAACTACTAAGTACATAGAACAAATTTGATTAATGTTTCATCAATTGTCTTTATAATATATTTTTTTAAATTGTAAAGAGACTTTCTTAAATAAATATTTAGGATTCTAGTATAATTTCATAAATGACTGTGTTTGCAAACAACACTTTCTATATACCTACTTACTTCAATGTACTAAAGTGAAATCCGTTAAACAATTGAAAAAGCTGCTGTGTATTTGTTTTTCATGATAGTTTTTATATATTTTTCTTAAATCTACCTTGAAATTTCAGTTGGAAGATCTCTTTTGTGCACCTCATCAAGTGTCTGGCTCTCACCTTCACTCAAGCTTTTTTCTTTTTTAGAGACTTGTATCTGCGTGTAAGAGGTGGGGGAACAAACAAACAAAAAAAAGTCCCTCTGCTTTTGTCTCCTTTAGTGTCATATTTCTGTTCCAGTTTCTGGGTTTGTGCATGCTTTTTATATAATGACTTATTAACAACGAATTTGATGCTCTTTATCTCTCTTCCCCTTACATGTCTAGTTGAATACAACAAATTTTGAGCAGAACCTCAACTTAATGAATCATTCATGCAAAACAGTATCTTGCTAATTGGTTATTAAATTGATCTATATTGATTTGAACTGTTATTAAACTTTTATAGATAAATGTTTTCTTCTGTTCCTATTTTGACTAATTTAGAAAACTGTTTTGGTAATTGTTTTTTTTTTTTTTTTTTTTTTTTTTTTTTGTTACCAGCATTACTGTTAAATTTGTTTTCTGTAGATTTGGATACCAATTTTCATTTATAGTTTTTTATTTACTGTTAATTCTATTTCTTTTGAATAATGTTAAACATTTATGAATGCAAGTTAAAATGCGTTTTAAATGGAATGATTTATAAATTTATAAAATAAATAACCTAATACTTTATATTTAAATTGTTTTATAACTGGGCATGAAATTCTTTTGTAAATAATCTTCTCTTGTCCTTGTATCATTATTTTTTTTTGTGTGTCTTTTATTTTGCTTTCTTTTTTTTTTTTTTTTTTTTTTTCTTTTTTAAGTCCCTGCATTGATACCTTCTCGCAGCGTGTCGACTTGCAGTGACTTTAGCCTTGCAAGCACCAGAAGTCCTACCACTGAGGAAGATGGGGCAGAATGTTAGACCAACAACCACCATCATTGGGCAGCATGGATTCCTTGTCAGTCATATCACTTTGGATTCGGATGCTCATAATACTTCCTCTTCATAACAAACAAGTTATATTAAAGAAAAAAAAAAAAAACGGTTTCTATGACAAAACATTCATTAACATTTTTTTTTGTTAACCTAACTGATTAATTCTCTTCAATTGTCAGTCTTCAGGATGCTCTTTATTTACTTCAATATGATATTTATGCATTCACAAATATTTCTGTACTAATTCTAGCAACTTGGTTTCCTTCAATTTTACTTGATTTATGTTTTTACAAATATAGTGGTAAAGGTGGTGGTGGTGAAGGAACTTGGTATATTTAGTGAATTTTTTTTAGATATCTTAAAAATCTGACTTTATACTAATTTGCTGATTGTTTTAAATATGTAATATCTTTGTTGGTAGTTGAATTAAATTTAAAGTTTCTTATACTTTCTCATCTTGCCACTAACATTTTTTTTTCTAAGTTCTACTGTAAACTCTTTCTATCAGTAATTTTTGTTCTCAGATAACAAAATCATCAAAACTGTTCTTTGGTAATTCTGCATAGACTCTGCTTAATTTCTTTTCAACTTTAAAGAAAACCTTTTCATTGTAAGGATTGTTCATTTCCAAATCTCAGTCACTGCATCACATTTCTAATCAACTAGGCTTTCATTTGGCTTCCAGCAGCACATAGAATCAAGATGAAAGCTTCTGTACATTCTATTATTTCTTTAGTAAAAATGTTTTGATAACTACTTAAATGCTTCACTCATCAATTACTAAATCCATTCTTTGTAGTTGGCTTGCAACAAAACAAAGACAAAGGTGTGGGGGGGATCATCATGCAATTATTTATCCAAATTAATACATGTTCAAGGCGCCAACTTTCACCAGGACACTTTAAAATCACACAAAAAAAGATTAATGGAATGCTTGGAGACTGGAGAATTTTGAAAAATTTACTGTTACTAAAACATTTTTTTTTTTTTTTTTTATAAAAATGTCCAAAAATATTAATATGGGACAATCATTTGTAGATTTTCTCATTAGTTCCCATTGCCTTGTAATAAGAGTTCCTCAGTAGAAATTTCTTGTTTAAACCTAAATGTATCAGCAAATTGTTGATTAGCTTGTTATTAAAATTGTTATTTGTTGAATTTTCAATTTTAGATAATACATTTTTGTTTTAGCTTTCAGTTTTTCATTTTAAACCTGACTAACCTTAAAAAAAAAATTGGTTCATTTTTATATATATATATATATATATATATATACACACACACACACACTCACACTTATTGAAGACAAATAATCTTTTTACGTAGCAGACTTGAAATCTGCAAGTGTGTTTGTTTATGACTAATAAATACCATAGTAGAGCCTCATTCAGAATTGGTCAGAATGTCTGGGTTATATTTTCCAATGCATCATGAAACTTTTGGGTGGCAATGAAGAAATGTTTGGACCAAATATGTATTTGTATTAACTTAGTAGTCATTGTTAATTTCTAATATCTGAATTTCTCATTACAAAAAAACAAAAACGATCTATATCCATAAAAAAAAATGACTAGAAGTTCTTTACCGTTTTTTTTTCTTTTTTTAAACAACAAGTAGATTGGCCTTGCCTATAGAATATTGGCTTGGCTTTCATTATGATTACATCATAATGCTTACTGCAGCTTCAGTATTTTAATATGATTCTATAAACACAAGTATTAGTAAGATAATGAGTATAATATAAATAAAACTGTAGAAAAACTGAAAATGTGAACAAACAGGTTTCATGTCTTGATTAGACTGAAAAGCAGTTTAACTTAGATATATTGTAGCTCTATGGTTGTTGTGCTAAACAGAGACCCTTTTCATGTGATGCTTGTCAAACTTTGTACATTTAAAGAGAAAAAACTCTTTCCTATATTTCTCAAGATAAAGATGCATTTGACAGTTGTTGGCCATTGTGTCTACACTTGTTTGCTGACAAGTATTAAACAGTCCAGCAGTTGTATTTGTTATTGGCTTCAGAAGCAGCATTTTAATTTCTTCAGGATAAAGACAGAAATCGGTTAATAGTTAATGAAATATACTGTTTTTGTTTTTTCATTTAGTAAAACTTTTGCTCTTGACTTTTTCCCCTTTTAGATGAAAATCCTCATTAGCAATAAAGTAGCAGATATAGATCTGCCATCCAACCAAACTCTACACTTAAAACATTAGGTGCTCTCTCTCTTTTTAAAACATTAGGTGCTCTCTCTCTCTCTCTCTCTCTCTCTTTTTAAGCCAAACTTTCATCTGCTGGTCTCCTTTCCTTTTTTTTTTTGTGTTGCTTCTTTGACAAGAGAAATTCACAGTACAAAAATAGAAAAGAGATTATTTAACACTTCAACTTTGTTGCATTTGTGTAGAACATAAAAATGAGAGAAAAAGCTTGAATAGAATAATACTGAAACTGGAGGATTTTCTCTTTTTTTTTATCCAAACTCTATGTAAAGGGAAGGATATATTTTTCTTTTTCTCTCTCACTCTGTTATTACTAATTTCTTTGATAATTTTTTCAGTAAAACTTTATTTTTGTTTTCCCCCCTCTCCTGTTCTTGTAAATAAGCAAATGAGGAATTTTTATTTTATCTTGATTTGAACTCATTTTCTTAATTAATAATTGACTTTTCAATTCATTTGTAAACACTTTGTATTAACATATTTGAAGACAGCTTCTCTTTATGAAATGAAAACTAAAGCTAATCAAGTGCAGAAATGAATATAATCATGGAATTATATTTTGTGTGCTTTTTTGTTTTGTTTTTTTGTAAACTGTAGATTTTAAAAACATTATTACATTATATGGACATAAGTGTGTCTAAATCAAACCTTTTTAATAACTTTTATATTCTTATAATTTTGTTAAACTGGTCACAAATGACTGATTGAGTATCCTGAAAACAAGTATTTGCTTTGCATGAAAATAAAATATAAAAAAAATTGTTTGATGCACTAATCATTGAGAAGGAAATATTTACAAATATAGTTTCTTCAGTTTGCCATTAAACATTATTTCACAATGTTTTTTTTTTAATGATTTTATTTTATATTTTTTTTTTCCATCCTTATATTAACTTGAAGCTGACACATTGTTTGGAAATTGCATTCAACCTATCAAGCTTTGCATTAAAGAGAGTGCTATTTTGAAATTCTAAGTAATGGGTGTGCATATTTAAATTTCTGAACACAATTTTGTAGGGCTCTACCCCCTTCAAACTAATTATTGACTATATATATTTTTTTAAATCCTCTGTATTTTGCAAGGGATTTCTTGAATGATTTTCATTTAAGAGAAGAGAATAGTTGTGATTCTGTTTTGTTTTAAAGACACTTTTTTATTATTTATACATTGTTTATTGAAAAATGGACGAAAAATTTGATACATTCCATTTTGAGAAGTTTTATTGATTAATTTAAATGGAGTTTGTTCCAATATTTTCTCTTTTTTTGTGTCCTTCCCTGCTCATTAAAAGTTTCTGATGTTCATTTTTAACATGAAATTAGTTTCTAGTTATAAATAAATAGTTTGTATATATCGGTTTGTAAATTTGTTTTACACTGAAAATATCTTAGTTTTTTTTTGTTTTTTTTTTTAATTGTTTTTGATAGCACATTCCTTTTTTATTTTTTTTTTTTTGTTTTTTTTTGTTTTTGATAAGTAATGTCTCCATGAATGCTCTTCATAGGGTGGAGATATGCTTCATCAGTAAACTGTACATACTGTTTTAGCCTTCTCTTATTTTGTAAGATATCATAATAAAATGGTAAAAACCAAATTTAAATTCTTTTTGTCTTTAATGGCTTCAGATTGTAATGTTGATATTATTAATATTATTGCTTTCATTCTTATATTAACATGCCCCAAATTTGGTCGAATCAGGTAAGTATTGCCAATATATTGGCATATTTGGATTGATGATTGGATTATATTGATTACTAAACCACTCATTACAAAACAAATGGTATGTCAATTCATGATGTAAGCATTTATACCAATCATTTAAATATTAAGTGGAAAGAATGGACATACCATTTCACTGAATGGTTTGAAAGCATTTCAGTGATTTAGTGTTATACAGCACTCATTGCTATACCTGTACCTATACTTACTTTTTTTTTTTTTTTTTTTTTAAAATTGAATTTCAGGATTTAGTCAAGTTTAATACTGTGCAGAATTTGAAAATGTCTACAGAGCTGGATTAATCATTAAGCAATGAAAGTATGTTTAGTCCTTACAGAGAAAAGGTACCAGTGATTTATTACCCAAGTCATACTTTTGATGAAAGATAGCATTCCTTGACTTTCTATTGAGGATGCAGATTAGCAAAAGGAAAAAAGTGATGACAATTGTTTTTAATTTAATTGCTCTCAAAGATTGGCAATAAAAACAAATTAACTCATCAGAATGAATTTAAATTCATTATCTGTTTGAGATAACTGATTAAATGTATATCTGTGATGTAATAAAGGGTGAGGGAAGATGAAAACAAATTAATTGACAAATGACTGAGATCTTTAATTACAGATGATCAATTGGACAGGATCATTTTTCTTACTATAGATGCTGATAGGATTTTATAACTACTGGTTGGAAAGTCAAAATTTTGGTGAAATGTCTGTATGAAACAGAATTGTGTTTATGCAGTCCTTTCTAAAAAGGAAGAAATAAATACACATTATCAATGTATGGATAAAAAAAAAGCTAATAATATATAAAATTGCACATGACAAGCTGGGTACAACAACGAAGGAAAAAGTGACACTGATATTTCCATTCTCTGATGTCTTAGTCAATTTGAGAATTTTTTTTAGGGATATTTTTGCTTCCCAATATTCATTTCTGAACACAAATTGCTTACTACCCTTATCAACATACCTCTTGATAGTGTACCAATGAACATCGCAGCCACACGATAAAGATAGCAATTTAAAACCAAAATTTATTT